ATGACTGGTAGTTCAGGGATGAAGGTACAAATCCAACTTAAAAGAGATTGAACCTGCCAATAATAAGCCTCTACTTTATTCTGATCGTATTCATGTGCGCTTTCTTACTAACATGCAATCAATAGGTTTACCCTAAACCTGTTTATCTATGTTGGTTGAATATTAACGCTCAAATAAATCTATTATTGGCAATCACTCGAATTATAATTAAATTAACCCTAAACAAGATTATTAATTATCTTATTAAGCGTGATTGCAAGTACAAATTCCCTTTAAACATGCATAAAAGACGTGATCAAGCAATAACAATAAAATATATCAAACAACATAATAATAATAAATAATAATAATTATAACAATTATAATCATAAATCATAATAATTATAATAAAAAATCATCATCATCATGTTAAAGCATAAAAATAGCAAGATCCTAGGCATGATACTAACAAGATTAATAACAAACCCTATCATGTCACTAAACCATAAAAATCAAAGCTTTGACCCTAACATGATACTAACATGCTATTAGAAAAGACAATAAAAGGCATCATAGAAATTATAATTGATATAAGCGAATCACCCTAAATATCATACTAAAGAAAGCATCCTAACATGATACTAGGAACATCCTAAACATGATACTAGGAATCAATAAAACATCCTAACATGATACTAGGAATCAAAATAACAATCTAAGCATGATTTCTATATCATAAAATTAATAAATCAATTAAATCACTTACTTAGATGTCTCGTATCTCTTTCTAATAACAAAATACACATGTTAGTAACTTCAAGGAAAATAATAAACAAACAATTAAATTAAATAATAATTGAAATAAAGATTTGGGACCAAACCCTCAGAAATTAAAACCTTTCACGTCAAGGGCGAAGGCAACTTCGAATTTGGCTAGGTGTTTCTAGGTCTTGTGAATGCGGAATTTTGTATGAAGGGTGATTTAGAAAGGAGATAGAGATAGAAAAAGCTTCTAGCTTTGAGAGAAAAAAGAATTAGAGAACTAAGGAATTGATGATTGTAGATGATTGAAAACGGAGTTTTTAGGAGGCTATTTATAGAGAACATCAGCCAAAAAGATAGAAAATCGAACCAGAGTTCTAACATGAAAAAACGAAGTTAGCGCCAGACGCTGACATTAGCGCCAGACGCTAACGCTACCGCCAGGCGCTAATGCTGGCGTTAGGCGCTAATCAGGTTTTGACGCGTTTTCTAAAACCATATAGAATTTAACCGTACATGAGGATAAAATCGTATTTTCCTCAAAAAGACTTTTTTATTCTAATTAAAATTCCAAAAAGTCAACAAAAGTCAATTTATCAATGCTAATTGAATTAAGAATTAAAAGAACCTTCTAGATGAATCTAGAAGACTAATACCATTCCTAATTGCATTAGGAATGATAAATCCATATTAGGCCCTCCCCTAGATCATTGGGCCGCATATAAGGCTCAAACCGGGCTCAGTTTAGTAATTTGGCCATAACTTCCTCAATATTCATCGGAATTGGGCTTATAATATATCGTTGGAAAGCTCTTTTCAAGCCCTATCCAACTACACTATTAATGGACCCATATCATGGACCAACCAAAATGGATTGGCTGTTTTCTTAAAGTAGGTTTTTAAAAAACAAAGAGAAGAGAAAAGAAATTAAAACTACTCGCAACACTAGACCTTCCACACTTTTACTTCATTCGATTACGATTCGACGTGAAAGGTACTCATCACCGGGTTTGGTTTTGGGGAGACACAAATGGGTGTCTACAGTCACACCCAAGCAATTAACAAACCGACTCGACGAATTAATTCGGAAGAAATTAATGAGTCGCCCGAGTATTAAATATTTAGACGTCGGAAATTCGAGCTTAGAGCGTCGAAACCAAGCGTCGGAAGTCGAGTCAAAAATAGTAAAAGACGAGACGACAAAATTAATAATAAATCAACAATGACCAAAATACCCCTAGCGTTAGAACCCTGAGTGCTAGGGGATTAGGCAAGCTAGCAGCCCACACCATGTGCAAGGCTTGCTAGCAAGCTACGGCCAGCAGCCCGCACATAATGCGTGGCTTGCTGGCGCGCTGCAGCTAGCAGCCCGCACATGTGCGAGGCGTGCTAGTAGTAGCCTTCGGCAACAGCAGCCCGCACATGTGTGTGTGGGCGTGCTAGCCCAATTGGCTGGCAGCAAGCAGCCCGCATGTACGGGGCTTGGCTGGGCCGGGTAGCTAGGGCCGTGGTTATTGGGGAAGCATGTGAGGGAGGCTTCAAGTGTTAAGGACAAGTGGCACTGGGAGAGGAAGGAGTGGGGAGCAAGTATGGTCCCCTCCTCTCCAAGTGGTCCTCACTTCCCTTTGCATGTATTAATGACACTTGTAGATTTATTATTAGTTTGCTTATTTATTTTATTTTAACACTAAAATAAATTGGGGAATTTCATGCTCCCACATTGATGGGATAGAAATTCCCACTCTCACTCTTCTTTATAAATACCCACCTTGGATTTTTGGGAATAGCGCTTGAGTAGGAGTTCAATAGAGCATTACATTTGCAAAAACTCTTAAACTCATATAATACTTGGGTTTTGGTCAAACCTCGCTAACCTCGAGGTAACGGACCTAAAAGTCGGTAGTTGTTTTTGCGGGTGGATCTCCGTCGGAGGCTCTTGTGTTTTCGGGGCTAAGCTTTCAAGTAAGAGCCCAATTTGTGGGGCAAAGCAAGCGACAAAGGTATATTTCCTATTTTGCCCTTTTGTGTTTATTTTATGAATTAGTGATATTATTTATTGTGAACGTGATCCTTGGCTCGGGTTTTTTCCGCGGTGAGTGGGACTCACCAAACCCCAACACTCAGTTCGGGAAGGACGAGCCATGTGAGGCTAGAATAGCTCACTACCATGTCTAAGGATTGAGAGGTTATTAGGGATAACATGAAGTTCTTAGGCCATGGTGCTAGTAAACACTTGGTTAAGTAAGCCTTGGGCCTAGGGCTACCACGCTCGCGCACGCACCAAAAGGACCTCAAAGTGTTTGGATGAGAAAAACTGCATAACAATATTTCATGTTGATTGAGGGGACTTATTAGGACCCTAGCTCATACATGGCCATAGGGCCAACATTGGATTCAAGGATCGGGCTTGAGAGCCCATTATTGTGCTAGTGTAAGTTGGGTGTTCGCTAGTATTTTCAAGCAAAAACAAAATTAAGCTCTATAGGGGGCGAGCGTTCGCTTAAGAGGTTAGTGGCTGACCAAAGGGTGGCCCTATGGTTAGGAGCCTTGGGCATGGTCTTGAACATAGGATGGTTTATGGAGACTATAACACACTTGGATGACGATGGTGGACACTCTATTGGACAAACTGACTCGGTAGTCCTAACTAGGGTGGATGCGGGATGACCAACAAGGGCATATGGCTTAGTACGGTTCATGTTAGCTCGTTGGTGCATGGTTTGACAAGGGGTTGCTCTTGGTATCATGTTAAGGTGTCTCTATGGTCTACTACTATGGTGGAGACCGTAGTGGCTCCGGTCAGGAGGAACACGTGCAGCCCGGGTCAACGACGATTATGATGCCTTTAATGGAACCATGGACTTGTGTTGCCATGCGGTGGATGCTAAGGAAAGGCCTTGGCTTATTAATTTTTCTAACCAAATCTTCCCTTGGTTGACTATTTATAGTAGGGACTCCTTAACGGTTACTCTTAGACATCCTTTCTATATGTGGTTGCCTTGATTTTAAGGATTGGTTAAGTAGTGGGACTAATTGGCGGTTTGGGTAACCACCTAGGTTGCACCACTCTCCCTAAAATGTCAAGACAGTTATGTAGAGGTGGCACGTTGCTAAGTATGGTTCCTAAAATATAGGACCATGATGTCAGTGGGTTGACTAACGGGTTTCTTAACCAGACCTTTGACTGAAGTTTACCAAAAATGCGGTTAAGCCACTACGGAGGTGGTTTCCATAAAATAGGAGCACCAAAGTATTGGGGTGTGGCAAAAAACGTGGGTAGTTATTAAGAGAGGATAATGCCACATCATACGGAAGTTACACCACTCACTTAGTGGCCCTTGAAAAGAGGAACAATAAGGGAGTGGGCGGTTACATCGGTCAGGCGGTTGTGTGCAACGTAAGCCTTGGTGCATGTCTCCTTAAATCTAGGAGCATGACTTGGTGGCGATTACCAAGCAGTTATGCTGAATGTGGATAACTCCCCTACCACGTGGATAAGGACAGATACATCCAAGTAAACATGTAGGTAGTGGGCGATTATTGGTTCATGGGTGCAGTGGGCAATTATTCTACCTTTGCCTATAAATAGACCAAGGCATTCATTTGCTGGACATCAAATTTGGGAGCTCTAGAAAAAGATTTTAGAGAGAAAAACTCCTTGTGATTTGTAAGCCATGAAAATAATAAAGTGTTTATGTTGTTGGTGCTTTGTCTCTTACTTGTGTGTATATGTTCTTAGTGCTTGAGTGTTATTAAGCTGGTCTAGACTTTGTCTAGGCGCCATCACGGGAACCTCCCGTGACACCAGGCATATTGGCGCCGTCTGTGGGGAAACAAGAAACAAAAAAATCAAATAAAAGAAATTATATTGTCAATGTCCACATAATGCTTGATAAAAAAAAGAAAAAGAAAAAAAAACAAATTATTTGTGTCATACAAGTACTCAAGCATATGATTTCGTTAATTAATAAGCTAACAATTAAAGAACTTCATTATATTAGTTAGTTGCTTCACTCCACTTTCTGTCTGCTACCACAACTTTCGTAAGAAGAGATAGAAAGTCCCTGAAAGTCATGAAAGTCAATATATAAGATATGTATTATTTACTACTAGCAAAAAGTAATCCTCGAAAATTATTGAAGTATATCAAAATTATGTACTTTGTTCATATCTATATATAGACCTTACAAAATATGCAAAAGAAAATACTGTTCTTATGAACAGTTCTTTGTGGTGCTTACAAAGACACCCCTACATTTAATGAATTGCCGAAATTGCCCTTGCTTAGCTTTGTGCATTTGCTTGCCATCTGTATTGGAGAATACAGCTGTTTCTTCAGGCCTTAGCTTCCTTTGACTTCCAGCTAAGGTGGGTTGAAGCTTGGCTGCTCTTTCTCATTTCCTCAACTCATTCACCGACTTCATTCGCTCTCTGCCAGAAACCTAGAGAGAGAAACCTTCGACTCCTTCAGCAATCACCGATCATCCATTCGATGATGATTATGGGGCTTCGGTTCTTCTTTGGGGTAAGATCTTTATCCTTTTTATAAGCATCTAATATCAATTTGACAATCTAGGGTATAACTATAATTTTATACAAGTCCACTAATCCTTTTTTGTGCTATGTTTTTTTTGGTAATTCTTCTTGATTAATAATCTGAATTTCGATTGAGAAACCGAAGGTAATTCTTCTTAATTAATTTTCTAAATTTCGATTAAAAAATCGAACTGTTTCTTGATGAAGAAGTGCTGATGGAATTTCTCGAACTTTGATGGAATTTCTGGTTGTTCTTCTTGGAAGTATAAAGATACTATTTCATATACTTCCTCTGTTTTCTTTTATGTGCAGGATGAACAGCCTTGCCCCCAACATTAATGTTTGGTACGAACTGGAAATTATGAGGTTTTTTTACATAGTCAAAAAAAACCTGACCTTCTTCTCAAGGTTCGCAAACTCTAATCCTTAACTCTACGATTTTATTGCTTTCTTGCTGTGATTGAGTTCGTCTTTGATCTTATGTTAGCATTTATTTGCTTTGATTTAAGATTAAATGTGTCAAATTATCAAGTTAATTTCCTCTAATTCTCTACTATTGCATGTTTGAAATGGGTTTTTTTTTTTTCTTTTTATTTTGCGGGTTGCTAATTCTTCTTTGCGTAATTTGTGTGTTAATTTTTCCCCTTCGTTCTGAGAATTATACATGGAGATTAGTTTTTTTTTTCCTTTTTTCTTTTAGTGAAAAGGATGATATTTGGTGGCTTGGATATTAACTTGAGTCATGAGAATGAATAAGGTTTAGTGGATTAGTTATGTGGACATTGTCATGGAGTATGAAATTTTAGGCTGCTTACATGAGAAGTTTGGGGTAGGTGACCACCTTTTTGGTCTGTGTTAAGTGTATTTCTTTGTTGGTTGTAAGGAGGATGGGGTGGGGTGGTTTGGGGGTGGGGGTGGATGGTGACCGTAAGGAGAAGGGGGGTTCTACACCAGGTCAATTGGCTCACTTATTAGGTTGCAAATGGTAGCTACCTGAATCGGTGGAAATTGACAGTCGAATCGCCTCTTTGTATAGCACTAATGTGCATAAAGTGTTGTCTCTGAGGAAATGATTAGTGTGACAGGTGGTTATGATGTAGCAGCAGCAACAATTAACATAGCATTAATCTCTTTTCTATAGCATTCCAATTATTCTTTCTAATTTTGTTTAATTTGGGTTGTAAATTCAATTTTAGGATTCGGATAATCTCAGAGAAGCTCTCAAGTACTCTGCTCAAATGCTTACGGAGCTCCAAAACTCTAAACTTTCTTCTCCTCATAAGTATATCGAACCGTGTGAGTAATTTCTTGCTTTTATGATTTTTTACAGATGTTTATAATAATAAAAAAAAAATTCTGATTTTTTAATATGTGTTTTGGAAGCTATGAGAGCTTTCAACGAATTAAGGAAGCTGGAATGGTTCTTTAAGGATGAGAGCAGGCATGGCTTTTCAGATTTTGATCTTTACGAACTTGTTCAACATGGTAGCAACGTGCTACGGAGGCTGTAAGTTTTAATCTGCAATCTCAATTTCATAGTTAATCTGAGTTGGTGAGCTTTGTTTTGACGAATGGTTTGGGGAGTTCTCTGATTGGTGAACCTTGGCAACTTCTGGTAATCGTTTGATCCAATTGTGGATGCTATTTCCTTTCCTTAGTATACGTTACACATACTATTAGGCTATATGCTCACTGATCAGGGGTTTTTTGTGGCTGGATAATAAGCCTTAACCTGATGTTTATTTGGTTTTACACTCGTGGTTGGAATTTGGAATTAAGATTTTAGGTGTTCTTGGTTCTTGTGCGTCTTGTTTCTGAATTAGCACCTAAACCGTTGCATTCAACTTATTGATTTGCTTACAAAGCAAAGTTTTTTTTTCAATTATGATAGATTCTTTGTTTTCCTTCCCTTTTTCTATCAAAGGCATGAAGGATATTCACATATTTTGTCAAGCTTCACTCTGAATTTTGGACTTTGACACCTTACTGCATATTGTTCTGAGTAAATTTCTTGCTCAATAACCCAAAATGAATCTCTAATCGGCGCTTTTCTTGTTTTGTTGAGAGCTAAAGGTGAGACCTTTGCAGAAGTAAGCTCCACCCTTTTCATTCTATCATTATTGTAATTAATTAATGGGTGTTAATTTTGAGATTATGTAATCTAAGGTTAATTACGATTTATTCTGAAAGGATGGGATTAGTTCACAAAGACCTAGGTTTTGATTTTATGGAATTAGCAATTTTAGGATTTTTTAAAAACAGGCAGTAAAATGACAACTTAAAATTATGGGTTTTGGGAATTTGGTTGAAATTCCATATTTTCAATTGGCCTTTGACTTTAAAAATAAATGTTGATGTTGCTGATTTTAAATTGATGAATGTATGTATATTCACCTCGTTTTGATCTACAGGTTTCCCAAAATGAGAAAGTACGAGGCATTGCTCGTCTCAAAGAGGAGCCTCCCCCGGCGCTGTGTTTTGCTGTAAGTACTGTGCAGGGAGGGGGCGTGGTGGTTCAGATAGACAGCAGGTTCCGGTATGTGAGAAGTGCAAGAAGGTGGGACACGAGACCACCAAGTGTTGGTCCGATAAAATCTGCAATTTCTGTAAAAAAAAAAGGGGGCATGAAGAGAACCGTTGCTATGATAAATATGGCTGGCCGGAAGGGACTGCTGGCAGTCGGGGGGGGGGGGGGGGCAGCCTTCGGCAGGTCGTGGCGGTCCCGTGAAGGCTAATGCGGTTGCAAGTGGTGGCTCGAACTCAGAGGACACAAGTTCTTTTGCTTCGGGTCCGTTTTTGGGTTTATTTGTTCGATTGTTTTTTGATTTTTAATGGGTTTATTTGTTCTAATTAATTTCGTTTTTTGGGTTGAATTTTAGTGCCTTCTTCGATTGTGTGGTGGTTTTTTTTGGGTTGAATTTGAGTGATTTATGTTTTTTGGGTCGATTTTTTATATTGTTAGTAGCATTATTGTCTGATTTGTAACAGAATTGTTGATCTCCAGGTACAATTCTATCTCCCCTTTCTCTTTCTTGTTCTAATTGATTCTATTTTCATCTAACCTTTAATATGAATGTATGTGTTTTTTTGGTTTTGTTTTGTTTATTTCTCCTCTATTTTCCTTCTTCTTTTTTTTTCTCATCCTGCAGTTTCTCTGTTTTTTTCTTCTAAAATAGGCGGAAGGAGTAAGACGGAGCAAGGTTTGGTGGATTCGAGTTTGAGCTGAAGAAACTCAGATATTATTGCATGGTCAATTTGTTTTTAATTTATTTATTTAATTTCTAGAATGTAATGATTTATTTATGATCTGTGCTGTGATTTGTGTGTTATTGTTGATGGTTGTTTGTGTTTTGTGGAATTGATGGAATTTTAATTTGATTGAGAAAGAAGCTCGGTTAATGTTAGGCGTTTTTTTTTTTTTTTTTTTTTTTTTTTGTCAAATCTGAAGTGTTTTTAGTAAATTGGTAAATAAATTGGTGAGAGTTTTGAGTGGTAATTTTACACATTGATGAAGTGTTTTGTTGTTCAAGAATTTTAGGTAATGCTTAAATTAGGTTTTATTTGTACCATTATTGTTAAATTCGGTTTGAAATTTTGTGTTCTTTTGTAAGAGTGATGTATGATGTGGTGGAGACTCGATCTCCTTAGATTAACTCCCAATCAAATGTGGATCATGTCACCACGTGGCTTAGCTTGTTATTATTTAGGGACAGAGGAAGTAGTTTTATATTACTTGTTATAGTGGTATATGAATTTGTCGGGCAGCAGAATAGAGGTAATACTAAAATACAGCTTATTGGTAGATGGTGTCCTGATTAGCCGATTATTGAGTAATGACTGAAATGTATGGCATGTTTGTTTTATTTTTTTGATTACCGGAATGCAATTTTTGATGAAGTGTATGGTATGCTACATTTTTACAGGTCAGGAAACATTGCTGCAGAGATGTCGAGAGCTGGAAAACATCCAAGATACAAGCAATAGATAGTGCTAATCTAGATCAGATTTGTAAGATGTGTTCTATTTAAGCTCCCTTGCCAGATTATCAAGAATATTGAGTCATTAAAGAACTCATAATTATACATCAAAAAATTTTGTTGATCTTAAATTAGTGTCACAGTTTCTAAATTTAAATGTTTTGCTAACTACTTGGGGGTGTTAAATGTTGAGTAATCTAACCATGGAATACATCTCTATTTTAAATAAATAAGGATAATTTGCAAATTACCACCCAAAAATAGTATCAATTTCTAAATAACCACCCAATTAAAATTTTATTTTAAATTACCACCCATTAAATTAAAAAAAACGCTCAGATTACCACCCATTTTGTTTTTCCGGTGGAATTTCCGTCAGTGGGCCCCACTTTTTTTATTTTTTTCCTTTTTTTTCTTCTATTTTCTGGCTCTCTCACTCTCTCTCCCCGATTTCACTCTTCTTCTTCCTACCTTCTTCCTTTCTTCTTCCCAACCACCACCCCCACCATTGAATATCAACCCTTCCCTTCCCCCATTGATTCCGGCAGCCTGAATCCCTGTTCGGCAACCCCTCCCCCTGACATCCCTTTTCCAGCCAACCTCTCCCTCTTCCCCTTTCTTTCAGCCGTTCCAGCAGCCCTCCCCCCAGCCATGCCTCACCCTATAAAAACCCGAATTCTATATCAAAACCCATCGAGTACAAATCGAAACCCAGAATTCCAAATCAAGTCTTATAGTATGATCGCTTGAATTTTTGATGAAATCATTGAGTTCTTCAGGAAGTTCCCTTCTTGATCTTGCAAAACCCTAATCAAATTGGGGGTAAATTCTAGGGTATTGAAGATCGAAGATTTCCTGCAAATGGAGGGAAATTGAAACAGAGAGAGAAAGAGGGAAGAGGGTCGGGTTTTCGATGGTTTTGGGCAAAATTCGTCCCGACGCCCACAAGATTCGCTACGAAAACCACTCCAAACACCCCGAAACCCAAAAATCGGCGGTGGGGTAAGGGTTTTCGATGGTTTTGAGCAAGGTTTTCTGGTTTTGCGTGATGGTGGGTATGGGTTTCTGGGTTTCTGAGCAAAGTGGGGGAGATTGGGGTGAGGGAGCAATGGTGGGGGTGGTGGTTGGGAAGAAGAAAGGAAGAAGGTAGGAAGAAGAAGAGTGAAATCGGGGAGAGAGAGTGAGAAAGCCAGAAAAAAAAGGAAAAAAATAAAAAAAGTGGGGCCCACTGACGGAAATTCCACCGGAATTGCTAAATGGGTGGTCATCTTAGTGTTTTTTTAAATTAGTGGGTGGTATTTTAAATTTTTTTTTTTGGGTGGTTATGTCGAAATAGGCATATTTTGTGGGTGGTAATTTGCAAATTTTCCAATAAATAATGACCATGAGGGTTTTTAAAATTATTGCTTTTTTCTTTAAAATAAATGGATGATTTTTTTTTCAACTTATGAGAAATAATTAGGGGTTTTTAAAGTTTTGGATGATCTATTGTAATGGTGTGCTCTATATATTTCTCGATTATTAATTCTCTCTCAATTTATGTGTCCGAAAATCATTTTGGTTAAATGTCGAATAAGTTATTCGGTAAAGATTTTGGGAATCATATTCGCCGTCAAGAGTTTACGTTTTAGTCAAAATTGACATAAAATTAACAAAAAAAAACTTTATTTTGCGTGTGAAAAATTGGCTCATACCATAAATTGTTCTATACATTAAGAGTTAGAGGGAAGGTAAGGGTGATAAATTCATAAATATAAGTTTAAAATTGGCTTTAAGAAAGTAGGAAATTTTTCTAAAATTGAGAAAAATATTAATTAGAGAAATCATAAAACTGAATAGAAGTAGGAATCCTAATTAGAGAAATCATAAAGCTGAAAGGAAGCAGATACAGAGTAAGCAAGAATCTAGAAGAAGATTTCAATAATTAGATCTCAACAAACTCCTTTCATAAAAAAAATGTTGTGATTAACCCTACATGGATTCGTGACAATTATGAGGAACTCAATTAATCAAAAACACCTTTTATAATGAAAATTTCAACGTTGTGTTTTTAATTATGTTTATACAACCATAGTAATAGATACCTTTAGAAAAAGAGATGGTGGAATTGAAGCAAAGGAGAGAGGGAGAGAGAGAGAAAGCAAAGGAGATGAGAATAAAAACAATGCGTTGAGGGAGGGAGGGAGGGAGAAGTTGAGAGAGAAAGAGGGGAAATGTGTGAAAGGAAGATGCTTTGAGAGTTGGAAGGTCAAGAGAGAGGAAAGAGAGAGCATTAGAGAAAAAAGGTCAGGGAGAGAGGAGCCGAGAGAAGAGAAAGAGATAGAGAACGAAGAGCTAGAAAGAACTTAAGAGATAGAGGATGAGAGTGAGAGAAGGAGGGTCAGGAAAGAGAAATAGACGGGGATTAGAAGAGAGACAAATATATCGATAAAAATAGTAAGAGATAAAGTGAAACTGATAAAGAGAGAGGGGGGCTAAAAGAATGAGCGGGATAAAGAGAAGTCGGGTGAGATAGAAGGGCTAGGGGGAGAGTAAGGCTAGGGGGGAGGGAGCAAATACAGCCTATTAATTTTCACAACTTTTAGAGGATGGAACAAGGACAAGAAAGATTAGGAAACAAGAGTGAGAGAAAGAGTTTAGGTCAATAAAATAAGGAATGAGTGAGAGAGGAGCAAGTCGACCAATAACTTTCAAATCCATAGAAAAAGAATAATTAAGACAAGGCAAGGGGAAAAGAAAAGGAAAAAGAGAGAATGACAATATAGGGCAACAAAGAAATGAAAAGGTTGGACTTGTTCCTCTATCACTTGCTTCTTACCACCCTTTTCAAATTATCCTCTTTTTCCACTCATTTCCAATTGACTCTACTGTTCGAAACTAATAAGACACTTTGTAGAAAACGAGTGAGTAGTTATACTCTACTTAATACTTTAGAGATACATATTTAATTAACTACCAAATTCTAGATAACTTTACTTATTAAATTTGTTTTTCCATAGATATTTCTCCATAGCAACTTTATCACTACTCCTTGTTACTACTTGCTATTACAAAACCCGAATATAGCCATGAATATCACAAAAACCAAACACAACTTAACCACGAATTTTATTTATCTTGCCGTCGGGGAGGGGGCACAGAAGAGAGAGAGAGAGAGAGAGAGAGAGAGAGAGAGAGAGAGAGAGAGAGACGGTCACTCAATAAGTGCAAATTTGTGCTAAAAGAGGAGAGCGCATCCTAGGAGAGGAGAGGCCTTGCTAGGAGTGGAGAGAACGGCTGGAAGAGAGAGAGGGAAGAGAGAGAGAGAGAGAGAGAGGGTAGGCTAAGAGAGGAGATATGGAAAAGAGAGAGAGAGAGAAAGAGAGAGAGAGAGAGAGTAATTCAATAAGTGCAATTAAGTGCTAAGAGAGGAGAGAGCATCCTAGGAGAGGAGAGACCTTGGTAGGAGTGGAGAGAACGGCTGGAAGAGAGAGAGAGAGAGAGGGCAGACTAAGAGAGAAGAGTTAGAGCATGCTAGGAGAGGAAAGGTTTTGGGAAAGAGAATAAAAGGAGAGGAAAAAGGGTCGGGAGAAGAGAGAGAGAACAAGGGGTAGGAAGAGAAAGAAAGAGAGAAAGGCAAGGGTCGAAAGAGAAACAAGGGTCAGAAGAGAAAGAGAGAGAAATAGATAGAGTGATAGAGAGAGAGAGAGAGAGAGAGAGAGAGAGCGGGGGGGGGGGGGGAGAGAGAGAGAGAAGCCAAGAAAGATAAAAGGGTCAGGGGGATCGATTATAAACTTTAGTACTAGCTAAAGTTTTCAATAGAAAAACAACATTATACACATAGTCACTCGAAATTTTTTTTATCTTAAAGAGTCTCACTAACAACAATACAATTCTTTCATATCTTTTACGTTTAATCCATTTTACATAACCTTAACCTTTAATATTGCATTTTTTTATTACTACTCATTATTATCACAATCATTTTAATACAAAGCTATTCTAAAATTTTTTAAGTAATAAGAAATTGTATTGCGTTTTAAAATATATAATGCCGTTCTAGATTACCAAACTTTTAATAATTGTTTATTCATAGATATATGTCCATAGAAACTTTTTCACTACTTAGCTTATTACTACTTACAAATTCATGTATCCTTTCTATTAAAAAACCCGAACACAACCGCGAATATCACAAAAAAAGAACACAATCACGAATTGTACTTATCTTGCCGTCGGGGGGGCACGCGCAACGCGCGTGCTCCAACGACTAGTAAACTCAAAAAGTTAGACAATTAGTTATAAGCATAAACAAAAAAAATATTAATTTTGACAAAGAGCTTACAGATTCAAGAAGAGACATTGGGTCTCTTTGATTTTGCTTCTTCTTTGCTGGAGAGATCAATAGGACCTTGTACAAGAGAGTTTTGTTTGCCGAAATTCCAATGAGAGAGCACATAATGATGATGAGTATGGCTGCCCAAAGAACTTTTGGGGATATAACAGTATAGACCCCAGTCATAAATGCCAATATAGTGGAATAAAATGCTACCATGAGTAACACCATGCTTCGATCAATCAATATCAAAGATTTACTCGAATCTTGATGAACCATGGACCATACAAGGCAAATCAACACCAGAATGGAAGTACACATGGCCAATGTATTCGATATCAAAAACACCAAAAAAAACAACCTTCTTAGCTAGAAGTGCTTCCCCAGTTTCTTGTTTTAATCCGCCCGGGAGAGTAAAACCTGCAGTGAATGTAATGGTGGCTAATAGGGCCGCAACCACAAACAGTGAATTTCGTACTTCTAACAAATTGGTCTTACGTTGGAAGTACGATGTTTTTATCCAAGGATCAAAACCGATTCTTTGGCACATTTTTTCCTGCAACAATGGTTTGTAATAAAATAAGTGAATACTACATAAATTGTACGTGATTTATTTTTTGTGACAAGATTATTCATGTTGTTAACGCATGTTTGAAAGGTAATTACGACATATCTTTTAAGTTTACAACAATTTTACTTGTATCTGTATGTTATATTATATCTTGACTAAGCTTAATTTATAAATGGATTTTTTGAAAATAACCACCTAATATTGTTGTTATTTTAGTAATTACCACCTATAGGTTTTATTTTTTATTTTTTTGCTATTTTACAACCTACTATTTTTAAAAACATGAAATTTCTCACCAGATTTCCCAAGCCCTCATACATGACATCATCATGCCTTCTTCTTCCTTGATTTTCATGTTCAATGATTTTTTGTTCAGTATAAGTAAAAATCAGATTACGGAAAAGCATTTAGTGGTCTATTTAACATAATCCAAGCTCAAACGAACATAATTAAGTCACTAATTTGTGTCAATTGTATTTTGTTGTTCTTCATTTAGGGTTTATCCCAAATTTAGGGAAATTTTCAAACTGAGATAATTTTTCAAATTAAACATACATTGATTTACTCTATATAAAACTAATATATATGCTCAATTTAGGATTATAAACCATAATTTAGAAAAAAAAAATTAGATTTTAAAATATCTCTAAAATACATATGAACCCTAATTTTCCATATCAACAATTAGTAATAATTTTCATTACAATAATATCATTTCGATACTAATTGAAGACATGATACGTTAAATTGATGCATACTAGTCCCAATTTCATAAAGTAATCACTAAGTAATAAACTATTAATTTCATTTCAAAAACCTAAATGATGAACACATCTTATAGTTAGCCCCAATTCTATAAATTAGGTACGTAAGTTAGTGGTTTGTTTGCATAAAAATCGAAGAACAAGGTTAGAAAAAGGAATGAAATTGAAAAAATCCATCGATGGATCCCACAATGACGTCATGTAGGCAATCAGGTGGGGAATTTTCATTTAAAAAAAAAATTGTGGGTGATAATTACTACAACACCAACAATTGTAGGTGGTAATTGTCAAAAAATTATTTATAATCTTTTCTTTAGGAAATGGATGCCCAAGAACGTGAATATATTTGGTCACTACATCTAGTAAAAAATGTATATCTAAATGATTTTAGCAAAGAGGAACTGTTTATATAGAAAACAATTACTAAACTTCATCCTAAGATGACAAACAATTTAGTCACCTAGTCATCACTTATGACAATATATTTATGGTAAAAAAAACAATTATATTATAAACCTTGAAATTTTTTGGAAAGAAAGCATACCCATGTGTTGTCATCGTTGCATACTTTTGCCAGCAAATCCGTCGCACTTTTTTGGTCTTTGTCTTTGATGTTACAATCTATCTTCTCTATATTGAGTAATGTTTCCGCTAAAAGTTTTTTGTGATTTTGTAGTGCTTTGTGTAAAGGAGTTGCCCCTTTTGAATCTTGAAGATTGATTAGATCTTTCATGTATGGAATCCTGAGAAATTCTTCATACTCTGTTAAGCTTGTGAGTTGTATATGATGCAAAGGAGAATCCTTATATTCAATACAAAGATCTCGAAATGCTCCTGGGTTATGGTTGATGAAAGCACAAAGAGTTGCAACATCACCTTTCTCACAAGCTTTGATCCAAGTCATGGGCGCTCTATTAAACACAGAAGGATCTTTTTTCAGCACAACATTTATAAACCATGAAGAACCAACTTCATATGCTGTATCCCAAGGTGATTGTTCATTGTTATCCTGTTCGGTGATGAGTTCCGATGCTTCATCAACTAGCCATGCACCGAACTCCTCATCTGCAATCATATATATTTTAAAGAACTAATAAGAATCATATGGCGTATCTGCACTTAATAAATTATCATTTCCTTTGAATTCTTTTGATAAACGAAAGCTACTAATTATACCTTTAAATTAGATATACAAAATATAAATATTGTGAAATATATGTGTAAACACAAATTTTAAATATGCAAAATATAGACTCGAAATAAATAAAACAAAATGTTAGTTTTATTAAATTGGTATTTTGGGTACAATCGTAATTTGTTTGGGTTTTTGAGAGGCTTTCTCCTCTCCTTCCTTCAAATTAAATGAAATAGAGAACCTCTATTTATTGAGTGAGACACCCCTAGGATTAGGATTTTATGTGTATTGGATGTTGGGCTTGACAATAAAACCAAATTAAAATGAGCTGATTAATATATTCACCAAAATTAATTCACTTCAATTAAATGTCAAATAACCAATGAGTCAATAATTTGACCTTTGGCTCACATATTGTCCAATATGACACTTAATTAAAATTTTCATGCATAAATATATATATATATATATATATATATATATATATATATATATATATATATATATATATATATATATATATATATATATTTGCTAAATCATGCCTACAATATGAAACTAACTAAATAAGATTGTCTTGTTATTTAGTTCTAATAACATGTTTGTTATTCAACAATTAATAAATACGTAATGGAAATTGTATAATATAAAGACAAAATAAAAATACAAGTCTATAACATCTGAAATTTGTGGCAGAAAAACATTTAGTTAAACAGCACGGTATATATCATATGCATTTATTTGGTAAAATACTAAAATTATATGTCACATTATTACTGGCTAAAAATTATTTTATGGAGAAAGGAAAAAGTAATGTGGATCTATAAACATTTAAGTGAGTGCATAAAAGAGGAACAAATTTTACCTGTTAATCTTGTAGCAAGATGTAATATATTCCGGCCCGTTGAAGAGCAATTTTTTGTGTAGCAAGAAACAAAGTAGAGTGCTCTGGCTTGTAATAATCTAGTAATGTATCAATATTGTTTGGGTCCAATTTAGTCCAATTGGGCCTAGGCATTAAATGATCCAATTAAAAGCCCAAGGTCAAGGTTCAACTCTCCAATTGTGCTAAAGTCAAAGGTCAGCCCTCAAAGCAAGCCAATTGGGCTAAGGCCCAACCTCTCCATGTATGAAGAGGTATAAAAGCCATCAATATTCATACATTCAGGTATTGATTCATAGATTCCCATACATTCTCATATATTCAAGCAAAGCCTCAAGCAACTAATTCTCTTGCATAGTGTTCTCTTTCTACACATTGTACTGACTTTAGCATCGGAGGGGCCTTCCTCGGCAACACCCCCGAGGCTAGTTTACGTGTGTTTACTGTGCAGGAAACCTTCGGCCCAACATAACTTGGACCGAATCCAGTCTTCTCCGTTTCAGCGGACCTTCGGCAAGGTCCCATTGTTTTCACCCGAAACAATTTGGCGCTGTCTGTGGGGAGGACTTTCAAAAATCTTTAAGCCAAATTTCTAACCAAGATCATCTTGCAATTATCTTAGTAGCAATGGCTAAGAACCGCAAGAGCAAAAGCCTCCGTCAAGGAGCGGGCGAAAAGCCTAAAACCCCCACACCATCACCCTCGCCGGACCGGAACTCTCCCAAGGGTGCCAGCTCGGGGGGAGGATCATACAAGGAGGAACCTTTCAGCTCATTCAGCTCCTGCTGAACTTGGGAAGCCTTTGTCTGAGCCTGGGCCACTTCTACTTTTTTGGCCATCAGTTGATCCTCAGCCTCATGGAGATTAGCTCTCTGAGCTTCAGCAGCAGCAGCAGCCTCTGAGAGTTGGACATCCCTGGCCTGGAGCAGCTCTTCAGCAGCCATTCGGCTGGCTTCAAGAGCTTCTAGTCGTTGCTGCACTTCAGCTTGTGCAGCAGCTCCTTCCTGAATACGGCTCTCAACGACAGCCTTGAATTTGGAGACGTCCACTCCCATGTGCTCCTGGAGGAATTTTTCCCCTTCCATCAGTGGGGGAAAAACTTCTTTCTCCATAGCGTCGCAGAAGGTTTTGAGGGCTTCAGCAGCTTTTTTCTCGTACTCCTCACCCTTCTGCTGCTTCTCTTCAGCTGCTGCTTGCTTCAGCTTAGCAAGCTTTAATTCCTCCTCAGCTACCTTCTTGTCGTGCTCGGCAGCATCTACCCTATCTTGTAGGGTATCTATCAGCTCTACAGTGAGAGTCTGATTGTGCACGAACTGAAAACAGGAGCACAAGTGTTAAAAAATAAAAGTAAATAAAAATAGAGCTGAATTTTAGAGGAAATAAAGGCAAGGAAAATCACCTGCATCATCAGCAGTTGGTTAGACCTGGCTGGGTCAGGAACTGATCTGCTGGATTCGCCCATCCCAACAGTGGCCTTCAGCGACCAGATTCTTGCCCTATCTACTTCGGACATGCCAGCGAAATTGCCGAAGTAGGCTGCAGCACCTTCACGGTTCTGACCCCATATGAGGTCCCAGATGTGATCTGGGATTGGAATTCGGGGGGCCGAGAAACCCATTTCTCCAGATTGCAGAGTCTGGAAGGAGGGAAAGGATGACGATGGAGCTTGTTTAGCTTTGGATGGCTCAGCATCATCCTTCTCAGAAGAGTCAATTACTATGACCTCTTCTTCTTCAGGGGTGAGGACGAAAGCCTCAACCTCTCTTGCAATGTCTGCCGTGAAACCCTCAGCACTGGGCATCACGGCATCCTTATTTTTGTGCTCAGCAGCACTCTCCTGAATTTCTTCTTGGACCCCTCCCTTAGATTCGGGAGTTCTCTGATCCACCTCCATCTCAGGAGGTGGCGGAGGGGTCTTTTGAGGTGATTGGGGTGGTGGCCGGGGAACCCTCGGCGATCCATTGCCTTCCTCGGGTTCCCTTATTTCAACGCCGATGGTCATCGGCCTCCGCTGAAAGTCGTGAGGGCCGATGATGGCCATTCTTCGGCGCCTTTTCTGAAGAGGCTGCTCGTCCATGTCTGAGTCTGAAGACTCTTCTTGTATTTGGTCTTCGGGACGAACAGGGGCTTTCCCTTCTCTGTGTCTGTTACTCTCTTCAGACTGTAATAGACAGGGGGGAGGAAGAATGTGAGTAAAAAAAAAAAAAGAAAAAAGAAGAAAGACAAAGTTAAGTCTGAAAGCTCACCGAGGTCTTCAGCAAAGCCTCGTCTTCTTCAGCTGCCCTAGCTGCAGCTTCTTCTTCAGCAGCTCTGGAGGACCCTTCTCCTCCTTCGCAAGCTTCGAGAACCCGTGCAACCTCTTCGGCTGTACGGGCAGCTTCAGCTTCTTCGTCCAGCAGCTGAAACCAGGGGTCTCTCTTCTTCCACCAAGGCTTCTGCCTCTGATACAGAGCAACAACCTCAATTTGGAAGTGGGAAGAGTCTAGATGAACTTCCCTATGCCTCGGTTCAGTGATAGACGGGGCCCGATCAGTTACAACTCGTTCTCGGTTGACACCAAGACGAGCATAGTTAATGCCAACGTTGGTCTCGTCCCGCTCTGAAAAAGAGAAGGGGAAAGGTCAGTTCAGATAGGTTGGCACAGCATAAAAAAGCGAAGCGAGAGAAGAAAAAGAGATAATTAAAAAGCCTCGGCCCCAGCCGAAGAAGCTTACCATCCTTAAACTTTCGGCTGAGGCCAACAACTGCTAGCATGTTCTCTTGGAAAACATAATGCGTATCGGGGAGCCAAGTCTCCGGGATATGCTGCATTCGACCGCTGCCCCCCCGGTTCGGCAGCTTGCCGAAGATATGTTGTTGATCAAGGTTCGGATCCGGTCCGTTATCTGCGGGGGGACCTAGACTTCCCATGTCGGGATCAGGCTCAGCAAGGTACCGGGGAGCGCTGAAGACGCAAGGGTGGCCCGGATCTGTGGGTGCCCTAACCCAAATCCATTGACCTCTCCAGTCCTTGTCTGAAGAGTCGTTCGGCCACATGGTTAGGTACTGGGGCCGGGACTCAATCCGGTACCACCCAGAACCATGGCTTCCGTGCCCACTTTGAATATTTGGCACTAGCCGATGAAGCTTTTTGAAGCAGTGCAAGTTCGGCACATACTTGAAGAACTTGCAGACCCATAAGTATGTCATCACCCTTCGGATGCTGGTGGGAGTTAACTGACATAGGGAGATATTGTAATGGATCAGCAAGTCTCAGACGAATACGTCCAAAGGGAACCTCAGCCCGTACTGAAGCTGTCTTGTGTACACCCCCACATACCCCGGGGGTGGACGATGGATTCTATCGGATGCCGCGGGCATTCGGCACCAATACCCATCAGCTTCAAAAATGCCGTAATGCAACTCAATTTGCTCGGCAAACCGATATTGTTCGGCATTCTCCACCCACCATGAGTAGGGGCGGTTCTTTATCATGGCCGAAGCTACTTCGGCATTCTCCCACTCTGAAAACCCGGGGAGGATATCCCAAAGGACAGCGGGAACTTCATCGTCCCGTCCAGAAGCGCTCGGCCCCTCCGTTCTCTGAGGAGGAGCCGAGGAAATTGGAGTCGCCCTAATCCCTTCAGCAGGGTCAGACTCTGGCCTTTGTCCATTCCAGGTCCCAATCCTGTTCCTAGGATCGGGAATTGGCCTTGCTCTTCTTGGAGCACGGGCTCTACCTCTAACTCCTCTTGCCATTGATTATTTCGAAGAAAAAAGTCGAAAAAAAAAGGGAAGGAGTTCGAATTCGAAGAAAAATAAACTGAAATCAAAGGAATTTACCTTAATCTGAAGCGAAAGTTGCCGATTTACGAGTTCGTAGTGGCAAGTCTCAGTTTCTAAGCTTAATGCTCGGGGAATTTGCGAAGTTTTGATGCGGGTTCTTGGTTTCTCTCGAGAATTCTGGGTTTGTGTTGGTGAATAAGTGAGGAGAGATGACGCGCCTTTGTTTATATCTCCAGGAATGGGATACGGGGAGTCCCCGTTTCAATTTCTCTTAAATACCCCACTAAGTAACCGTTAAACACACGATCTTGCGATTAAACTGCCCATTATCCGTCCAACTTCCACCATCATCCGCCTTAACCGTTGTTATCTCATTAATTACGGTTTAAATTCAAATTTTTGGATTAATTAAATCATTTACTTCCCTCCTTTTCTGAATTAAATCAAACCCGACCCGTCATCCTTCCAAATCGGGTCTGGGGGGCAAGTTGTTTGGGTCCAATTTAGTCCAATTGGGCCTAGGCATTAAATGATCCAATTAAAAGCCCAAGGTCAAGGTTCAACTCTCCAATTGTGCTAAAGTCAAAGGTCAGCCCTCAAAGCAAGCCAATTAGGCTAAGGCCCAACCTCTCCATGTATGAAGAGGTATAAAAGCCATCAATATTCATACATTCAGGTATTGATTCATAGATTCCCATACATTCTCATATATTCAAGCAAAGCCTCAAGCAACTAATTCTCTTGCATAGTGTTCTCTTTCTACACATTGTACTGACTTTAGCATCGGAGGGGCCTTCCTCGGCAACACCCCCGAGGGTAGTTTACGTGTGTTTACTGTGCAGGAAACCTTCGGCCCAACATAACTTGGACCGAATCCAGTCTTCTTCGTTTCAGCGGGCCTTCGGCAAGGTCCCATTGTTTTCACCCGAAACAAATATTACTATCTCTAAGTAGTGACAATATGTACAATGCAAGATCTTCACGATTTTTGTGTAACGACAAGTGCAGAGGTCCTTTATTTTCTTTATTTTTTTCAAACCATGGAAATTGTTGAATCTCAAATAATTCCCAATTAAGAAAATTTTCTTTGTAGGCTTCAACAAGTAGTCGTACAATGTACTTTGTTGCTTTATGAGTTGTAGCAACAAGAAAAGGATTATTTAGCTCATTATAATCCTTAGCATCAATAAGTTTGATGAACAAAACTTTCCACTTAGTCTCTAGTATGAATTTAAATAACCACTCTTGGTCGCTTTTTATCCAACTGTGAATTACGGTGGATCCTTCTCTATTAACTCCTTTGATTAACTCGGGATGCCCATCAATTAATTGTGCGCAAAAGCTTTCTGTGTAAAAGAAAATATTGTAATTACAAAAAATAGTCGTTTATAAATAAACAATTTATGTAACAGAAGCCAATAAGAAAGCATATAAAAACTATTCTGTCCGTTACATTATTACCTTTTAGCAATATTAATCAATAAATACTGTACGTTCTCACATAAATTACTATGTGTCAATGAATATAAAAGTCATTAAAGTAAAGTATTTCATTTGTATTAGAATTTATCACATCAAAATTTCCAATTCAATAAACAAAAGGAAATAAAAAGATGAGTCATACAAATTTGTCCAAAAAAATATTTAATTTGGTTGTGCTTTTAAGTAAATAATTAAAATATAGTCGTGTGGGATCACCCTCTCTCTATCTTCATAGTGTACAATTTTTATTTTTACCCCATTCTATACACAGAGTACAAGTTTTGACCAAATATTTTTAATAATATATACATGCATGTGAATTTGATTATGTAAAATATTGTTGACTTGGTTACAAATATGCATACTTTTACAATATCAACTTTAGTATTTTTTTTCAAATGGACTATATAATATATTGATTGTTAAAGTTGTGCGATTACAAGTGTTCCAATAAAGTGATGCATTTTAAAATGGAGGGAATATAATTTCCTTACAGAATAGATGTATTAGGTTAACAAAATCATTAAATACAAAAATAAATTAATGCATCATGAATAGACATATAAATAATTAAGTATGACTGGTTGAAAGAGAATAGACTTATAATGGGTGATTAAATTAAAAGTTGATTGGATATTACTACTAGTCAATCTACGCCACTTGCTTAATATACAAATTAATACTGGTGATCATCAAGGATGCACGGACACGCCAAAAATCTGAAGAGTCCGAGTCGACACGCGTGTCGGACACGGACACGGATGAGACACGGGGCGACACGTGTCCGACACGCAGAAAACCGTGTCCGATTTTTTTTAACCGTTTTTGATTTTTGGACACGGGCCGTGTCTTGGGCTGACACGGGCCGTTTTGGTATGGACACGCGAAATACCTAAATTCCTATGCTTTGCCTCTCTACCTCTTTCCAAGTTTCCAGTTCTCAAACTCTCAATCCTCTCATCCTCTCAAGTCTCAACTGAACCCCTTGCTGCTCACTTGCTCAGTCGCCGACTTGTAGGTCTCACCGTACCGCCGACTTGCTGTCTCCGTCACCGCCACTCGCCTCCTTGCCGGTTGTCAGGGTTGCTGGCCTGGCCCTTGCTGCTCGTGGCCTTCATCTCTCATTGTTGCGGGGGTTGCTGGAGTTGCTGGCCTGGCCCTTGTTGTTCGCCTGCTCGTCCTCAGCCACCACCTATCACTCCACCGCCCACCTTGTCGCCCGTCGTCCGTGTCAGCCACCAGGTATGGTTCTTCTCTACTTTTTTTTTTTAAAATTCAATTAAAGTTCTGAATATGAATCCTTGGATGTCGAGAAGTGAGAGAATGTCGGTGAGAATGGAGTCTGGGAGAGAACTTAATCGGTCTTCATTTTCTGAGTCTCCGCCATTGTTGTCTTTAATGGAGCTCAATTTCAGCCTTTTCGTGCTTATTTCTTGGTGTTCTGCCATTCAACAATTGAGCTCCATTGTTATCTTTAATGGAGCTCAATTTCTGCCATTCAACAATTGCTGTGATTCTGAAGTGAATTCGAGTAATGCTAATTTGGGGAATTTTTTAGGGTTTTAATCAGTGTAAGTGTGTAAGAACTTCTGATTTTCTGAAATTCAATTGCTTCAATAATTCAATTTGTTGTTCGTCGTCAGCCAGACAACCACCGCCCACCACCGTGTTTTGACAGTTTTGTTGATTACTTGATGAGATGTTTGATTTTGTGTTATGTTTCTAGTTTTGTTTGATTACTTGAAGAGTACTATTAAGACATGTCTGGTTTGATGGTTTCTTGATATGTATCCGACTATGTCCGTACACTTTGTTCATTTACTTGTTTAATTAAAATTGTGTGTTTTGAGGCTAATTATTTAGTGTTTTATTGAATTAGTTGTCAAATTCTCGTTTTTTTAATATATTATATGCCTTGTTATACGCCGTACCCGTGTCCCCTATTTTAGGATTGCCGTTTTCCCGTGTCCGTATCGTGTCCGTGTCCGTGTCCGTATCCGTTTCCGTGCATCCTAGGTGATCATACACATATGCTACAGTAGAGTATAACAAAAAAAATGACAAAGATAAGTAGAGTCACCTGTGCATAATGGCGCAAGTTGCAAAACATTCAGCTTCTGATCATTACTAAGAAGTTGAGTCCAACCTTTTTTATCCACTATCTTCAATATCTCTTTGGCAACTTCATGGCATTCATTCTCGATAGCCAAGAACAAAACATTCTTCTCACATGTAATAACTATATTTTCATCCACTGATAAGATATAATTTGCCATCGCTTCATTCTTATGGATTATAGCCAACGAAAAAGGTGTATCTTGATGGCAGTTTTGCACTAACAAAGGATGTATATTGTTTGAAACGATCAATGAATTGTTTGTGTAAACATCTATGAGCAACTCAATTATTTTCTTTGCATCTTGTTCACAAGGGGTATATTCAGCCAAAGTGTGTAATGGATTATCACCATATATGTTTGTAGAAGATAACAAGTCTCTGAAAACAACATTTACATCTGGGATGATATCCTTACTTTCCAGAAGAATTTTAAATGGCCACATTTTACAATTATACGACCACGAATGGAATGCGGAATTTCCGGATATAGTTTTACGTTTAAGTAACTTTGGCTCTCTCTGAAGTAAATGTCGAAAAGATTTCTTCTGATCCCTCTATAATCACAAAAGGTATTCAAAGATTATCCTTATGTAATATGTACACATGTTACAATTTTTTTTAATAATCCTAACTTTCAATTATTATTATTCTAGAATAATCCGAAATTCGAATGTGTTTTCTTCTAAACGGCTTAAAATAATTAACAAAAGTCAACAATGTTATACAAGGTTCCCTAGCTAACACGTCTCAAGCCGTGATAGGTCCCAAAAATAATGAGTATAAAAAAAACATAAAATGCCCTCCGCTCCCCCATCGAACCACCCTAGCTCGGTCTTCCTTCCCCCTTAACGACCCACCGCCCCCTCCCCTACAGTCGCCCCTCCTCCTTCCCCCGAACTCCCACCACCCTTCCCCGTAACCCCTCCCTCCCTTAAAAGCCCCCACCCCTGAAATTCCCCACCGCCCCTAGTATATGTGGTATGTACATTCAAAAGTTCCTACATTGATCTTTTTCTTTAATGCCTTTATGCGATTTCAATTTCCTTAGTATTTCTAATTACTTTCTAATCTCTTTGTTTTAAATGTTAATCATGTTTAGCTTTTATATTCTGTTTTGTTAGCCTAGTGTTTACTATGTTTAATGAGTAGATCCATCCTTGACCAAGGGGATGGTGATGGTTCAGCTTGGATCTTGAGCATGTTAGGGGTTGAGAATAGGGTTTTTTTTTATTTTTTTTTATTTTTTTATTTTTTTTTATTATTGAGTGGCCAATCAATTTTTGTAATTAGGTGAGTTGAGCTTAATCATGGCAATAATGTAATTTAGTGAGAGTGTGAGACTCATTGGATGATTTATTCTTTTTCATTTGTCTTGTTTCATAGTTGATTTTATGACGGTAGTGTAATCTTTTGTGTATGAGAATGCAATTGTCCCTAGTATGTGGTTGGATTGTGCTTGTAATCATTGATCATGAATTGTTTAGTTCACATTTCTTTCCCATTCCTAAACCCTTGACATTGCTTGAGTGAATAGCTTTAATTGATACATTTCCTTCGTGCTTGTTAGACTTGATTCCCTCTTCGTCATTCATAGTCTTGCCTATTGTTCAGTTTTCCCTCTAGATTTTCTGAGCTAGATAATTGTTGATAGTGATTTGTGGTGCTTAGTAGAGCTGTTCATGGACGGGTCAACCCTCTAAGACCGCCCAACCCTGCCCGCAAATTAAGCGGGCTTGGACAACTATTTTGGAAAAAAATTGAAGATTTGGGAGGGCTAGGCCATGCCCGTTAACATAAATAGGCGGACATGGATAAGACCACTGGCGGACCTACGTTGGAGTAAGGGGTAGCACGTCTACCCCTAAAAAAAAAAATTTAAAACTGCTACATCATTGTTTATGTATAAATTTTTATCATGTATATATTTACAATATACTCCGCGCTGCTCTACGGTTGGGAAACAATTGAAGTGTGATATATCCTTTTTGATGCCTGGCAGGTAGGGGTTCGATACCTTTAGCAACAACTTTAATTTAATGAATTTATTTATTTATTTATTTATTTTTTACTTTTTTATTAGAAAGCATTTTACATAGTCTTCATTTTTTTACTTTTAAAAAAAGAAAACTAGCATTCTAAACTAGAATACTTCGTTCCTCTATTCATAGAAATTCTTCCCATTTCATGCATAGCTTGTTTTTCAATGCTCGTATTTGACAACTAATTTATTTAAAATTATTTTAGTAACAATATTTATGAAAATTTACGTTGAAATGTAAATTAAAAAAATAGCATGTGATAATTTTTTTTCCTTATATCCAATGCTTACCATATAAAACTTTGACCGATAGATAATACAGAGTATTATAATTCATGGAACATAGGGAGTACTTTTTAATTTGATTGTAGTACATTGAAAACTAGATATAAATTATTGGTAAAAATTAAAAAATATAAATGTGAATAAATGTTAAAATTGTTAATTATTACTCCCACCGTCTTGAAAAATTCAGTATAATTAGCACATATGCCGATAAAAATGTTTAAAAATTAGGCATGCACTTAATAATAAATAAAGGGATATATAGATTATGTAAATAACCTTTTGTTGTTATCTTAATTAGTATATATTTAGTGTATATCTTCCCAAGTTTAGCTTAAGCTTAACTTAGAAGTCTTTGTATTGGGTATATAAACTAATCTTTATTTGATGAATGAGAAGTTGCGGCAAACATTTCCCACATTCTTCTATATATATGGTATCAAGACAACGCATTATTTAAAAGTTAACCGGTTTAACCCAATTTATCCGGGTCAATCTCAATAATTTATTAATTATGCTATCTAATTCGTACTTAGATTGCGTCGTTCTATCCCTAGAAAGAAATCCTGGATCCGCCACTGGATAAGACAATATGTACCGGGAGCTAGCCCGCCCGACCCGTCTATTTAAAAAATTAATAGTTTAATAATTTTTTAGTTAGTTGATTACGTAGCATATATTAGAAAATAAATACAAAGAGACTATATTGGACTCCATGCTTTTATTAGCTACAACTAATTATTTCAATTTTGTATTTTATTATTATAATAAATAAGTTCATTCTTTTGTATTTTTCACTAACATATGTCACAAGTTAAATATGTTTTTTCCTAGTATCATTAGTGCTCAAGAAATTTTTAAGATTACTTAATCAAAATAATATTAACATAAGTAAATGATAAAAAAAATTAATTAGTTTTAGATATATGTAAAACAAATCTTTAGGACTGTGAGCCCGCGGGCAAGCCCGACCCATTAGTAGAGCGGGATTGATCAATTTATTAAGCCCACATAAAATGGCTCGGGTTAGGTCAATAAGCCCATTGGACAAAAAATGAAGTATAGGCCCGACCCGTTTCCCGTCCAAGCTCGCAAACGATCACCTCTAGTGCTTAGGTCCTTCTTGTGGTTTGACCCTATCTTATTATTTGACTTGTTTAGTGATTGTTTAGTTTTAGTTTACAAAATAGATTTAGAGTGAATAGTGACAACCTATATATTCCTTTATCAACGACCCGGGTCAAATCTAGATATAGTATAAACTAGGCTAGCTAAGCTTCGGTGAACTAGGTGTAGCTTAGTCAGATAAAATATCATATATTATTGATAGGAATGGTGTCCTTCGAACAAGTGTACTATTCTAGTAGAGGGTTCGAAATTATTAAAAAGCTAATTATTCACCAAGGTCAAGTTATCAAAATGCCTAGCTAGAGGCCGCTTCTGATCAATATAATTAATATTACAGCTTAATCTTGACTGAACCCTATGGGCTGCAACCAATCAAGTGACGATCCGTGAGGACGAATTAATCCGAAAGGAATTAATTAGTCATTAGAGTATTATGAGCATAGATGTTGGATATCGAGCTAGGAACGTCGAGACCGAGCATCACAAGTCAAGTCAGATTAATAAGACGAAGAGACAGTTATAAAAATCAAGCAATCAACAAGTACTAAATACCCCTAGCATCGGAATGCCCCCATCAAATCGAGTGCTACGGGCATGGCTGTTAGCATGGGCGTCGCACCAAGCCGAGGTTGCAAGCAACGCTGGCTGGTGCGGTGCGGAGCATCCAATGCTAGCATGCGCATGCTACCCCGCCAGCAACGCTACCAAGCCAGCAACATGTTAGTCCTTGCTAGCTGCTTCTAACGAGACGTGCATCACCTCGAGCCCAACAGCCCTTAAGTGTGCAAGGCTTGATGGGCTGAGGCAGCAACCCCGCGCCAAGGCCTGTAGGCCAAGCCAAGGGAGCCAGGCGCCAGTGTGGCAGCCTAAGGCTGGTTCCGGCCAGATGGCACACGGGGATATGGGGGTCGTGCATGTGGCGGTTAGTGAGGGAAGCTTAGGGAGAAAGGGATTTTGTCCCCTCCTCTTGTGGTCCTCACCTATTCCTTCTCTTGCTATGCCACTTGTTGATTCTTGATTGCATTGCCTTTTTCTTTTGATGTTTTATTTAAATTTAAATTAAGAAAGGGGTTTTTACCATCTCTCCACATTAATAGAAGATAGGAATGTTCATGGGATTTCTATATAAATACTAAGCTTCATGATTTGAGAAAACCCACTTTTTCAGTTGAGAGCTTGAAAGGATCACCAAAAGCGTGAACATTTTCGCTCGTAATAATCTAAGTTCTTTGTGGTGAAGCCCCACCTAAGATTCGGGGTAGGGGCCGTAAGGGCCGTGCTTGAGGGTGGACTTCGTAGGTGGTTCTCGCACTTGTGAAACTAGCTTTTCAAGTACGAGCTCTATAAGAAGCGAATCCTGGGGTCGGGTTAATTATGTTAATTAATATGCTTATACTTAGTTGCATTTATTTATGTTCGGGTCCTGGGGTCAGGTTTTGTTTCCGCTTGGTGTTGGACATTACGAAACCCAACAGTGGTATCGGAGCCTCGCTTATTAAATTTTTGTAACTGTTTTTTCAAGGTGATTTAAATGGCTTTAAATTTATGATTATGCTAGCTAGTAATTAGATTAGAAGCTCGTTTTATTTATTTTAAGCTCGATTTTAAATCGAATTTTGGCTCCAGAACCTAGATTTCGACCAAAGACTAGTGAATTTTTGGTGGAATCGATATTCTGGAACACTTTTAATCCTTTTAGGTTTGTCAAGAAGCCAAATTCTGCTTGGAAACACCGTTTTCGAGGATTTTTTCGTTTTATTGAAAATTTTTAAATCTTTAAGCCTTGTTTGTTAAATGACATATTAATTGCTCTTTATATGTGTGGTTACTATAATTAACCTACTACATATATAAGCCTATTTTGAGCATTATTATCAAGTTATAATTAGTGCCCAAGTAGTTGGCTATTTTTTCACAAATTGCAAATTAATTGCTTTATGTGTGAAAAAGTTTGTGTTTGAAGCTTTAAAAGTATTAAAGTTCTAATCTTTA